GTGAAATCTAGAATACAAGTTATTTGCTTCCAAAGGTACAATGGCAGAACAGGCACAAGCTAGACATCTCCATTACAAATGAGAGAAACTAGAGGAAAAGAAGTGATAACAGGCACCAAGCAAGTCAGCAGAACACATTACATTAGCCCTCAAGGCTTTGAAAATAATCTTCTGTTCTCTGAGGCAGTTGACACAATGACCCTGCCCTCTAGACTCTAGGTATTGGCCACACTCTCCAGATTCTGAGTGGAAGCCCCTCGGCCCTGGGCTTCAGCTCTGTCTTCTAGGCCCACTGGGACAGCAACTCTGCTCCCTTGGCTTTAGGCGCACCATTCTCCTAGCGCATGGTAGTGACAACTCCACCCTTAGAAACAATAGAAGCCATGGCTCCACCCTTTGAAACCCCTCAGGTCACAGCCATACCTTTTGAGACTGAGGCAGCTGACTTCTGTGTTCCTTGTCTCTTCAGCTTCTGTTTCCTGTGGCCTCTGGGCCCTTAAGGCCTCACACCTGCATCTGCCCGGCTGGGGAAAGTGTTCCAAATTTCCATAGCTCCGTCAATTAAGTGCCTGGAGGCACACCACTCCGCCAGGAAGCCTCCTGCACACAGGCACTCAGCTCTCTTGCTGGGGGTGGGAGGGTGGGGGGCGGGGAGTCGGCTCCAGTGTGTCTAGCGATTGTCTCCTGGTTCTGCTGCTGCAGGTTCTCTGCTGCTGCTGGTCCTCTGCTGCTCCCACTCCTCTAACCATTCAGTTTCAAAACCTCTTCCACATTTTAGGTATCTGTTACAGCAGCACCCTACTGCCAGTACCAAATTCTATCTTAGTCCTCTAACGCTACTCTAACAGGAATGCCACAAGTGGATGGCTTTAACAAAGAGAAATTTATTCTCACAGTCCAGTAGGCTTCAAGTGCAAATTCAGGGCATCAGCTCCAGGGGAAGGCTTTCTGTGTCAGCTGTGGAGGAAGGTCCTTGTCATCAATCTTCCCTTGATCTGGGAGCATCTCAGCACAGGAACCTCAGGTCCAAAGGACACGCTCTGCTACCAGCACTGCTTTCTTGGTGGTATGAGGTCCCCAACTCTCTGCTTGCTTCCCTTTCATATCTTGAGACATAAAAGGTGGTGCAGGCCACACCCCAGGAAAACTCCCTTTACACTGGATCAGGAATGTGACCTCTGTAAGGGTGGTGTTACAATCCCACCCTAATCATCTTTAATGTAAAATTACAATCACAAAATAGAGGCCAACCACACAATTCTGGGAATCATGGCCCAGCCAAACTGATACACATATTTTTGGGGGGACATAATTCAAACCATGACACCACTGAGTCTATTCCAACTCATGGCGATACCATGTGTAGTCAGAGTAGAAATGTGCTCCATAGGGTTTTCAATGGCTGATTTTTTGGAAGTGTATCACCAGGACTTTCTTCTGAGGCCTCTAACCTCCAACCTTTTGGTTAGCAGCTGAGCCTTAACCATTTGTACCACCCAGAGTCTCTGAGAAAAACTTACCTAACTTGAATCCAAAAACAGATTTTAAGTTGTTGAGAGTAAGGCTTTTCTCTGTAAAGCCCCTAATGAAAATAACACAATGTCTATAACAGACAGATTTCTGAAGGAAAGTAAATGAGGAGACGGAAGGAAATTAACACAGGTAGACCACTAATTAGGGAGCCCTGGTGGCGCAGTGGTTAAGAGCTTGGCTGCTAACGAAAAGGTAGGCAGTTTGAATCCACCAATCACTCCATGGAAACCTTATGGGGCAGTTCTATTGTCCTATAGGGTCGCTATGAGTAAGAACAGACTCGACAGCAATGGGTTTTTTGGGTTTGGTAGCACAGTAACTAAGCACTCAGCTACTAACTGAAAGGTTGGCGGTTCGAACCCACCAGCCACTCCACGGGAGGAAGATGTGGCAATCTGCTTCCATAGAGATTTACAGTCTCAGAAACCCTATGGAGCAGTTCTACTCTGCCCTATAGGGTTGCTACGAGTTGGAATTGACGCAACAGGGTAACGGGTTTTTTGGTTTTTAGAGCCTTAGTTATGTGTCAAGGAGCCCTGGTGGTGCAGTGCTTAAAGCGCTTGGCTGCTAACCGAAAGGTCAGTGTTTCAAACCCACCAGCTGCTCCACGTGAGAAAGACGTGGCAGTCTGCTTCCACTAAGATTGTTGTTGTTAGGTGCCGTCGAGTCGGTTCTGACTCATAGCAACCCTGTGAACAACAGAACAAAACACTGCCCTGTCCTGCGCCAGCCTCACAATCACTGTTATGCTTGAGCCCATTGTTGCAGTCACTGTGCCAATCCATCTCGCTGAGGGTCGTTCCTCTTTTTCACTGACCCTGTACTTTACCAAGCATGATCTCCTTCTCCAGAGACTGATCTCTCCTGACAACATGTCCAAAGTATGTGAAACGTAGTCTGGGGTCTTAAAAGCCCATGAGCAGCCATCTGAGATACTCCACTGGTCTCACCCCTTCGGGAGCAAGGGAGAATGAAGAGAACAGGATACAAGGAAAAGATTAGTCCAAAGAACTAAAGGACCACAGCTACTACAGCCTCCACCAGACTGAGTCCAGCACAGCTAGATGGTGCCCAGCTACCACCATTGACTGCTCTGACCGGGATCATAACAGAGGGTCCTGGACAGAGCTAGAGAAGGATGTAGAACAAATTTCTAACTCACAAGAAAATACCAGATTTACTGGCCTGACAGACTGGAGAAACCCTGAGAGTATGGCCCCTGGACACCTCTTTTAGCTCAGTGGTGAAGTCATTCCAGAAGTTCGCTGTTCAGCTGGGGACTGGACAGCCCCATAAAACAAAACAGGACTAATGAGGTACAGCAGTCCAGGGACAAGGACTAGAAGGCAGGAGGGGACAAGAAAGCTGGTGATAGGGAACCCAAGGTTGAGAAAGGACAGTGTTGACATTGTCATAAGGCAATATGTGTACTAACTGTTTAATAAGAAACTATTTGTTCTGTAAACCTTCATCTAAGGTACAAAAAAAAAAAATTATCTATGTGAGATCAAACTGACAACAGCAACTCAAAAGGTTTGATGGGAAGCCCAGGGGCCAGTGAGTTGAAGATAATGGTAATGGAATAATTTGGAAAAGGATAGTGAGAATAGCAGCACAACTGGAAGAA